TGTAGATTAACTTAGTATACAGAGATTTCCAACTATAAGAACAAAAATACCATTGTTTTTTGCAGTTTTTCTTCGATCTGAGCTATACCCCTCCAGTTCAGCTGTTTCACGAGACCTGCCTGAGAAGGGAACATTATGAACTGATTCTAGACTGCACAACACCGGACACAAGGGAACGTCCTCACATTTCAACAGTGCTGGCAAAGTTGCAGCGTTTCCACAGACAAAGTGAGTAGCAGCATCATCAATATAAGTTTGTTTCTTTAATATTATTTTACTGATTTGGTACCAACCAATCCATAATGTTCCTACTGATCACATCTTGTTTGTGTGTTTCCTCTAAACATCATTTTCCCTTTTAAGCTATTAAAACACTCAATGTATTCTACATGTTACTTGAATTGTGTTCATTGGTGTTCTTATCTCTATCCTTCCGGCAATAAATCACTATTACTGTAGGTAGCAAAAACTTAATGATCGACCAGTTCAGATGACACCTGCCTGGGAGTTTAAGATTTCCAAACATAAACACTGATGACATACAAGTAGAGTGTTTGATCAAACCTGACAGCTCTTGTTTCTTATTCGGGAGAAGTGGGATTCAGTCACAGATAAGGTGGAGTGAGAAAGGTTTGCTTTTGTGGGGCCTCAAAATAATCACAATTAGTTTTAAAGCCAACAGTTCATCATAAAGTTGCTCCGGGTCATCCCATAGTTGCTTCCGGTCATCCCATAGTTGCTCTGGGTCATCCCATAGCTGCTCTAGGTCATCCCATAGTTGCTCTGGGTCATCCCATAGTTGATCCAGGTCATCCCATAGTTGCTCCAGGTCATCCCATAGTTGCTCTGCTTCATCCCATAGTTGCCCCGGGTCATCCATTAGTTACTCCGGGTCATCCCATAGTTGCTCCGGGTCATCCCATAGTTGCTCAGGGTCATCCCATAGTCGCTCCATTTCTGTGCCAGTGAAAACCACACAAAATGCCCATGGCTGTCCTGAATTTAAAAATAAAAACTTCAAAAACTGAACCAGACTACAGAAATGTACACATTATTACAGACATCCCTAGAGACTGACAGGAAGCATGGTGGCCTGGACACAACGGTGTTGGGCTGTACAGTTTCCAGAGAGCAAGACAGCGACCAACCTCCACAAAGTTTTATACAAGACATTAAAGATATAACAGCACATTTTCAGTATTCTTTTTTAGTTCTTTTCTCGCCTAGTCGCTTAATGAGGCTTCAGAGAGAACTTTCCATGCTTTCCTGTCCTGTGAAATCTTCAGTGCAGTTTTCTATATCAGAGACGCATCATTCAGTTCACCTTCCATTGATCGTCTCCATGTTGTTTTTGGGCGCCCCATCTTTCAATTCCTTTCTGGTGTCCAGCATTCATTCCCACGACGTGGCCAAGCCATTTTATCTTCTCTTTGTTATACTGTCTACTGTTTCTTGGTTTGTGACTTAGAGATTGTATCTGACCAGAAAATTTTAATAATTCTTTGAAGAAATATGTGGTGGAAGATGAAAAGTTTATGTGCGTCCTTTTTTGGTTATTCTTCAGCATTCTGCTCCAGAAAGAAGAACTGGCAAAATAATGCTCTTGTTTTGTTCTTCTGCAGTAACTGTTGGATTACCAGATGCGCCAAATCCTTCCATATGCGACTCTAGCTTTGTTCAAGCGTGATTATGTCATCCTCTGTCCCTCCTTAAAGGGACACCACACTACTAAGATATGTGAGCTGTTCTACATTCTCAAGTGTTTGGTTATTTATGGTCACTGGTTGTTGGTTTGGACTGCTTGTCATGATCTTAGTTTTCCTTATATTTATTCTCAGTCCCACAATTTGTGCTGTTGTTTATAAGTTGCTACTTTTTTCTTGTATGTGTTCATTTATATATGATAGGAGTGCTATATAATCTGCAAAGTCAAGGTCCTGGAATATAGTGAATGGAGTCCATCGTTTGCTTCTCGATGTCTTATCTATTGTGTTCTTTAGTATCCAATCAATCACAAGATTAACAAGAACGGATGACATAACACATTCCTGTCTTACACCTGTCTTTACTGGGAAAGGTGTGTTGTATTTTTTTTTTATACTGTAAGAAAGGTCCATATAGAAGAGTGCAGTTATGTTGACTGTCTTTTTAGAAATTTCATAAGAACGTAATATTTTTCAGATTCTGTCTCTATGGACACTGTCAAAAGCTTTCTCAGACTACACAAAATTGTTATATACTTCTTTGCCATTTATTGCATTGTACCAAAATGTTGCGTAAGGTGAATGTGTGCTCAGCTGTTCCTCTACCTTTTTCTGAATCTGGCTTGTTTTACCTGTAGGCATTTATCTACTTGTTTGTTTGGTGGTTTAATAGTAATGTCAAGGTCCTGAGAGGCTTGTTGAATATCTGTGGGATTTTCTGTATCAAGTTTGCTTAGGAGGTTAAAGACATGTTTAGTCCTTTGCATGTTTTATTTGTGTTATGTGGTAGGCAATTTCCATTGGTTATTGTAGAGAACTAGTTTGGTGGAATTTATCGTCGCCTGGAGATCCCCTATAATCCTTCCTAATAATTTGCAGGGCTCGAATTAAGAAAGTCTAGGGGAATTGTAATGGTCCCTGAGTTCATAAAGAATGGAAGGAAAATACAGAAAATCAAATAAATAGGGTGAATCCCCGGAATATAATGGAATACATAATTATTTTTCTAACTAAATTCAGAAACATAAAGTTCAACACTTTTTAAATTGAACTCAAATAAATCACAATGTACAATACTTCGATGTATGAGTTTTCAAGAAAACAACAATTGTATTGATATAATGCTGACTAAGAATCATAACACATTATTCAACTCAGAAGGAAATTAACTCATCATTCCACATGAAAAAAACCATTTCAATGTATCAACTTCACTCATCTCATCGATTGTTCAACCTGAATACGGCGTTCTGAGGTATGGACAATACACTGGCGGCAACAATTGTAGTAATTGGATATAAGTATAAGTTTTCAGTTCATTTCGGATTCTCCGTCTATAATGATGTTAACCATCCATAGGGTTACCGGGAACCTGAGAAAATACATCAATCAGCCTTGTGTTGAGAATTATGTCGACACATCTGGGGCAGGTGGAGGTGTTGCGGTGTTTAAGGTGTTTTCATATTAGAAAGGGAAAGTGCAAGGTTCATACTTTGTCTTTCTCCACGAGCAATATCACAACTAAATCTCTCCACCCAGTTATAATATATTGTTTTATACATATCCAAATTATTGCACGATCATATAAAACTTGACATAATTAAGTGGACACACGCTCGCCTGCGGATTGAAAAGTCATTAGTTCAAGTCACAACAGACCCAGGTCGACTTCGCCTTGAATGGACACCAGCTATAGTCATGGGGAGTAAAGGCGGCAGGTGTGATGTTGACCACATCAACGCCCAGGTACCACTTGGTCTATAAAACATAGGCCAACCCTGTATGCCCACACATCTGACGACTCTTACTCAAACTGTATGTTGCATAATATAATAAACATAAGCAATGTAATGGATACCCAACTGATGATACCACATGGCACAGGATGATGGTTTATACTGTAAGATCTTTACGCAAGGAAACCAAATGAATATTTCCAGAAAAGATGACAGAGGAAAGGAGGGTTCGCTAATACATAGTCCTAACTGTGAAAAGTAGCCTAAAGAAAGTTATAAATGTAGGGACTAGTAAATTGTCCAACGGACAAGTATCAAGGTTGATGAAGTCACGGAATATTTATACAATGGTAGAATATAGAATGATAGGATCTCGATAACATATTTCAGGATACAGCTAAGGCTTACAGGGGATCTCAGCTACTCCCTACCATTATAAATCTCACCTGAATTCGTATGATTTTATTATTAATATTAGTTCTTGGTAGTAGGCCGTTTGGTGTAGTGACGAATCTAGCTCTAAGGGTTTCTCCTAGTAACACTAAGTAAACGTCATAAGTTATGTGCGCCTTCGTACAATTTCTATTCTTATCGCATCTATGTTCAACTATGTTTATTTTAAGTGCGCAATTCTTCTAACCACATGATGCAATTAACTCTTGCCGGACTGAAATATTCCGTTGGTTTGTCACAGTTATCTCTGATGGGCATGCTGTAGGTATTATTTCTGCTTCTGAAAATTTGTTCGGTGATTTTGTGTAGGGTTTGTAGATCATGCATTGTGGCAACAAGTTCTTCTGTTTCTGCTAGATTTTCTACAAATATCCTATTGTTATTCTTGCACTTTTCTTTACCATTGTATTTTGTTTGGTATACTCTAACATTAGTGTGTCTTTCTGACGTGCTGATTTAGTGTGATTAACAGCATATAGGGCTTGAGAATTGGCTAGAGACAGAGAAAGACTTTTTTGCATGCCGTGATGAGAGTGACTTCTGTGAAAAATCTGAGGATAGTCTGATTGTTTCATTGAATATACATATAATAAATCTTCAGAATACATTTAAAGTTTGAGAATCTACGTCATTTATTCACTCATTCATTTATTCATTCATTCCCTCAGTCATTCATCATCATAATTACCATCCTCAATTTCCTTCCATATTCGACATTTGGCTTCATCGCGAGGAAACTTTTGCTTTCCAAGGCCAGATTTGTAACACTGGCTATTGTTATTGTGTGTGGGTGTCGTCCCATCAATCCATCTTCTATATGAAATCAGATCATTCTAAGTATAACGCTTGTGTCAGGGGTTTCCATGGGTGCATTCTGACGACATGGCCTAGCAATCTGTTCTGTTTCTCTGTAAATTAAGTGACTGATCGTCTTTCACCTGATTGTTTTGTTGTTGTTGTTTTTTTTTTTTTGAATTTTTTTTAATGTTTGCAGATTCACCGTCTTGACTTTATTCTCGAACAGATTTTACTGGTCGTAGAAATTTTAGAATGTTTAGATGGTCCCTTCTCCAGTGCTGTCAAGCTTATAAGCTTTTTTTTTTAACAGGCGCCGACTGCAAACCACAGTACCCAAACCTGTCTGATGGCAAGAGAAGGCCGTCTACAGCTATGAGACAGGTACATTTTGGTCAACTTACTACTGAAATTTTCAGAACCATTTTCCTCTATAACATATAACTTTATATATATATATATATATATATATATATATATATATATATATATAATATATATATGAATATAGTGTGTGTGTGTAAAGTATGGGGGGGGGGGGGTCTATGTCTATATTTGTTTACTGTAAAGACACAAGAAACCAAGAAAAACGAAGAAGGGAAATGGTTATCTTCGCTTGAAATAAAAGAATGTATATCTGTTTACTTGTCTCTACACGTGTACCATTTGAATCAATTTCAGTGGCTAATACCTTCGTGTACGACTGCCACAAATGTTCATATTATCGTGTCACGAAAATAAATGTCAAACAGAATAGCTTACAACTCTTCACAACAACTTACATTAGGCAACTGATGTTGCGGAAACAAGCTATCATGAGCAAATAACCATAAGACATGACGCACAACACACACAAACAGAAATGACGATGGAATTATTTTAATTAGAGACTAAAATATTATGAAAACTAATAATAAACGATACATTGATATAAAGTATATGGTACATACCTGGATATGCTCCAGATGTTATGAAAGAATGAGCTAGGACTATTCAGTCTTTCATTTAAAGCTGGCAGCGACCAGGAGAGGTATGGTTGAAACCTGGACAGAGATCAAAACATATCGTTAATGTATGTGTGATTTGCTGCATTATCTTCAAGAATCATTCATTATCTTAAAGCATTTCTGTTATCTTCAGCATATTTCACATATTGTTTTTTTTTTTTTTTTTTTTGTCTTTTAAGGGAATACCGGATGTATTTGGTAAGTGAAACATTTATAAAATATTTTGACCACATCCAGTGGAATTCCCCCCCCCCCCCCTTTTTCCCCTTTACGCCCACTTTTTTTTTCCTTAGATTGCATTCTGAAACATTATTATCAAGTGACTTAAAGAAACACTTCCCTGATGAGAACACAGTAAAGCAAATCCTAAAAGTTGAGTTATATCAGGGCACCCAGGAGTCTCAAGTAGCCTAACGTCCTAGCTAGGATGATATCAGTAATCATTTCCGACATACAATATTTACAGGTCTACATTATTTCACAAACAGACGGTAAAAGATTACCCTTTTCACTCTTTTCCCTCGTTTCCTGAAAATATTACCCAACCCAGAAATAAGTGCAGCCATGATTTTTCAGCATGCTCGTATATAAAGCCTTGCCCCAAGCCCTAGTGTCCTATCACTCCATAGTCGTCCCCATGTGATATGCAATTTTAATTATTTTGAAGCCCCACCCTGGCTTGTGCCGGGATCGCCAAATATAGCGGGGCCTTAAATATTGCCTAACGGCTGAAGGGGGTTTCTGGGACCTCTGCACGAGTGATCCTCATCCACATGGTGACACTTTGTGTCACTAGGAGTTTATTGCTTGTGTGAGGTCCCGGTGGGGTACAACATACCTACCTAAATAAGTCAGATTAGTTCAGTTCGCCTTCATACAGGGAGGCAGGGTTTCATAGCAGCGACTAAAATAATTGTATCAAACACACACTGGTTTGGCTTGCATTATTGAAGTGATCCAGGGCGGCGTTCATTACCATAAATGTTTTACCAAGGAATTTCATACCCAGAATCTATACATACGGCTGCATAGAAATGATTGCAGCTTGTGCAGGACAACAGAGAATTGTTGAAATTGTAATTGTGAAGGATTATTAGTATGTTCATAATGTTTCATGACAAATTAGATGTAAATATGAAGTCATTGTACTTGGAGGAACATCAAGCCAAACGTTTATAACGCTGGACTCCCATACAGGAGTCAGGATTTAAATTCCTTGGTAAAGTTATAAGATTTAATTCGGTGTGTGTGTGTGCTTGTGTGTGTGTGAGTGTGTGTGTCAGGGGTTGGGGGGGGGGGGGAATTTCTGAGTAGATTGTGATGACTGCAATATCCATCTACTCTAAATGATCAGGTTAAAATCCCTCCAGCACCCCCGAATCCCCAACCCTCATTGTTCTTGTTTGTTGTTGTGCTCCCCCCCTCCCCCCCCCCCCCCCCCCCCCACCTCTCAGTTTTACTACACAGCCACTAAAATTAGTATATTAAGGATAGTAAAAGACAGTTACATAAGAAGCCAACATATCGTAAAATATTTCAGACGTTCATTAATCTTTCAGAATTTAAATCAACAATAAGACTCCAGACTGATTTGTGTGTGTGTGTGTTTCAGGGGAAACCCGTACCTCACAACATGGAGTTTCGTCAAAGAGATCAGATCAATGCTCACTCAGTATAAGTTGGTAAATACGTATATGGGCTTTTTGAGAGATACTGTGTCTGTCCTGTGATACATTCTTTGATACGTCATGTGATAGGTCCTGTGATACGTAACTTTGAAAACTGTGAAACGTCATGTGATGTGCACTGCAATGTGTCCTGTGATATGTTATGTAATACATTCTGTGATATGTTTTTTTTGATACATACTGTGATACGTCCTTTGATACTTTCTTTTTAAAACATCCTGTGATACGTCCTGTGATACATCTTGTGAAATGTTCTTTCGTATGTCGTGTGATACGTCCTTCCTGGAATGATGCGTCCTGTGATGCGTCATGTGAAACGTCTGTGATGGCGTCCTGATAAATAAAAAACAACTACATCCTATAGAAGAAATAAGCAAGGAGTGGTCTGCCATTAACGACCGTTTAATCAGTTTCACTTCTCATAGTGATTGTTTATTAATAATTATGTCTTCAATGTTACAATAATGGAATTAATTCGGATTTCGCGTTAAATCTATGAGCAAACCAAATGGAATTATAATTCTGGTGAAGGTAAAGAGTAGTCCCTTAGTCGATCCTGTGTTTTAGCATATAGGGCACGACCTTTAAAGTAGGATAATCAGTTCTCTTTCTCTTCAATTCCCCCCCCCCCAAACCCCTTCCCCTTTTTTTTTAACAGTTTCAAGAGAATTCCGGACAGGAGAAACCAACGTGAGAGGATTCTTTACGTATTTTTAGTTATGGCACATGTTAGTGTCAGTACATGTACTGATAAATTTTGTGTGTCGACGAGATAATTTCTACTGATGACTGGTAGATCTCCGCTGTACTTTGCTCCCTGTGAGTTTATTCCTATTGTACTTGGCTAGCCCACAAGACTACCAGGAAAGACTGGTGACTATCGGGAAAGACCTTTTGACACCTATGGAAAGACTTCTGGTGACTTCTCGGGAAAGACCTTTTGACACCTATGGAAAGACTGGTGGCCCCCCGGCCCCGTTATCGCCGGGGGATAAACTGACATCTGGAAAACAGATATCGACTGTGGGACCGGGTTTGATCACCTCCCTAACCAGTATATTACCTCCGATTTTGGTACTACCACAATGCAATATTGCTCCATGGCCCGTCCGAAAGTGGGTGGGGGGGGAATGAAAAGGCCCAATCCAACTGATACCCCTCGTTGACGACTT